ATGTTAGCTTTTGTCTTTATACGATAACGCAAACTTGTTCTCAGCTATGGTTAAAAAAGTTTGAATTTTTCAACGGCCGTTTCAAATCTCCAATTTCAGTTTTTTTGAAACTTTGTTAAACAAATTTTAAAATTTTTAGAAGATCTCATGGGGATTTATGGACAATAGATAAGGGAATAAAACGGTAAAAAAATTAGATCAATAATTCTTACAGTTTAGCTGTACCTGCGATTTGAACTCGGCGGATTTCGGGAAAATCGCATTTTTTTGTAATATATTAGAGAATACGTATTAATTTTTTACTGTTGTACATTTTAAACAAAGTATTTTCAGCGTATTATAGACCAGATAATATAAAATATATATTCCAAGTTTTATTCAATTCGGACATTCTTAACCCATAAAATGTGGAGTTCAAAGGTCAAATTTTGCTATATTTGGGAATTCTCAGTGTACCATATCGAAATATTATGTATTTGTCGGTCATATTTAATAAAGATGACTTGAATTTTTAGTATAAAGTCTTATGTTTAAAATAGCAGCGAAAAAAAGTAAAATTAACCCTTTAAAACACATGGGAAAAATTTAACCCCGAAGATCAAAAAATCGTAAAAACACTATCCATTTGAATAATGCTCTATATAATTAGAGGAATAACATAAATAAAACAAAAAAATATATATTAGGTATAAAAACTTATGAATTAACCCTTTTTGAACCTATAAAGTTTGTATTTTTAGACATATTATGTCGAAAATGGTCCGAAAAAATGGACTACATAAATTATCAGTTTTAAAAACAAAATTTTTCTTTTAAAAATGTACACCTATAGTTTACTCCATAGTCGAAAAGGGTTAAAGTATAATTTTTTATACTTAATATATACGTTTTTGTTATATTTCTGCTATTTCTCTAATTATATAGAGCTTTATTCAAATGGATAGTGCTTTTTCAAATTTTTGAACTTTTGTGTTAAATTGTTCCCAAGTGCCTTAAAGTGTTAATTTACCTTTTTTTCACTCTATTTTAAATATCGGACTTTATACGATAAATTCCAGTAATTTTTGGTAAATATGGCCAACAAATAAATAATATTTTAATATGGTGCACTGAGAATTCCCAAATATAGCAAAATTTAACCTTTGAACTCCACATTTTATGGGTTAAGAATGTCCGATTTAAATAAAACTTGGAATATATATTTTATATTATCTGGTCTATAATACTCTGAAAATACTTTGTTTAAAATGTACAACAGTAAAAAATTAATACGTATTCTCTAATATATTACAAAAAAATGCGATTTTCCCGAAATCCGCCGAGTTCAAATCGCAGGTACAGCTAAACTGTAAGAATTATTGATCTAATTTTTTACCGTTTTATTCCCTTATCTATTGTCCATAAATTCCCATGAGATCTTCTAAAAATTTTAAAATTTGTTTAACAAAGTTTCAAAAAAACTGAAATTGGAGATTTGAAACGGCCGTTGAAAAAATCAAACTTATTTGACCATAGCTGAGAACAAGTTTGCGTTATCGTATAAGGACAAAAGCTAGTATTCAAGTAATTTTTAGTATATTTTAAGTAACAAAATGGTTTTTTTACAATATGTCCTAAAAAATTTTAATTTTTTTGTCACATTTCGAATTCATGTGCTGTGAGACACGTTAATGGCCTGGGGAATTTGCAATAACTTTAAAAATTTTCAACCAATTTTTGTGTTTTATATCTTTCTGAAATGCTTATTCTGTGCACATTACGATTCCTTTACAATAAAGTGCAAAGTTTTTTATTAAGTTGCAAAATTTGAGCAAAAACTGAAAAAAATCGATTTTTTCCCCTTGTAAATGCACTTGGAAACTTCTGAGCCGTTGCGGCACCTGTTAACGTTATCCTATCAGCCTAATTTTTTGCATGACATAGTTTTACAACCCATAGAACAATTCCAGAGGGGGGGACGGCCTGTCGGATAAAATTTTTTTTCCTTCATACAAGCTTGGAGCACTCTAATGTACATATATATATGTATGTATGAGTGTATATGAATATAGTAGTACACGAAGTGATGTGGGGTACCAAGTTTAAGAAAAACTTGTGGTTAAAGTACCATAACGGAAAGTTTTTTTTTTTGTTTTTTTGCAATTATGTTGAAAATAATTATTAAGATGTAGAATAGTATTAAAAGTTTATTTCCATGTCAAAGAATGAAATGAATTCTTGGTAAATCTTGTATAAAATGAATTTTACATTTTAGATATTAAAAGTTTATCAAAGTATTAAAGGGCATTTAATGTAACTAAACAAAACCGGTTAAGTTTTAAGTTTGAGTACAGAAGAATCTGTAAGGACTTTATAAAATATATATACGTGTCCAATATTAAAACCATTAAATTGTGAGAAAAGTATTTTTTTCTTTATTGCACTTTAATATTTCTCTTTAGTTCACACAAACCTAAATTGCTTAAAGCACTTTACAAGGCAATCCAATAACTATTTTAAAAGATTTTTATTAAAACGAAGAATATGTTGAGATAAATAAAATGTTGAAATCATGATAAAACTACAAAATACACATGGTCAAGGACAATACTTATGGTCATCTAAATGACTAAAAGCATTAATTGTTTTGTGTGGATGTTGCGAAAAAGGGAAATCAGCTTAAAGCTAAAAATGCGCTGATAACATAAAGATATTAAATACATAAAACTAATAATTTAAATTCTCAATTTGTTCATAAATTTTCAGCAAAAACAAATTAAACGTTTTTTTTTCAAAAGCAATGTATGTGTTCACAAATCAATTGTTTCTTTATATAAAATTTCTATTTAAATTGGATAACACACATACTTACATAAGCTAGTATTTGTTCAAGAGTTTTATAGAATAATACCTAACATTTTGATGCAACAGCATTATGTAGCAACATAATGTTCCCTATAAAAGTAGTGCCTAGGAAATCAAAATTATAAGGACATATTTATAGTTTTTAATTGGTTTGATCTCTCAGCCATATAAGCTGAAATTACTGTGTTGCAAACAAAACAAAAAATAATTAAAATTTTGTGTAATTAAAAGTAAGAAAAATAAGAAAAATAAGAGCAAAATTAATTGGGTCAATTTTTACAGCAAATTTTTGGAAAATGAATTAAAATGTTGGTTATTCTATAAATAGAAAATTTATCGAAAACATTTTACATATAAAATAGAACTTTTGTCCAAAATTTCCACCAAAAAGATATCTATGAATAAAATTTTCTATAAAAAGAAAATTTATCAAAAATTTTCTATAAAAGGAAATTTATCGAATATTTTCTATAAAAGGAAATTTATCGAAAATTTTCTATAAAAGGAAATTTATCGAAAATTTTCTATAAAAGGAAATTTATCGAAAATTTTCTATAAAAGGAAATTTTTTGAAAATTTTCTATAAAAGGAAATTTATCGAAAATGTTCTATAAAAGGAAATTTATCGAAAATTTTCTATAAAAGGAAATTTATCGAAAATTTTCTATAAAAGGAAATTTATCGAAAATTTTCTATAAAAGGAAATTTATCGAAAATTTTCTATAAAAGGAAATTTATCGAAAATTGTATAAAAGGAAATTTATCGAAAATTTTTTATAAAAGGAAATTTATCGAAAATTTTCTATAAAAGGAAATTTATCAAAAAATTTCTATAAAAGAAAATTTATCGAAAATTTTCCATAAAAGAAAATTTTCTATAAAGAAAATTTATCGAAAATTTTCTAAAAAAGAGAAAACTTATCGAAAATTTTCTAAAAAAGAGAAAACTTATCGAAAATTTTCTATAAAAAGAGAAAACTTATCGAAAATTTTCTATAAAAAGAGAAAATTTATAAAAAATTTTAAAGGCAATTTATCGAAAATTTTCTATAAAAGAGAAAATTCTATAAAATCGATATAAAAGAAGATATTTATCGAAAATTTTCTATAAAAAAGAAAATATATCGAAAATTTTCTATAGAAAAGAAAATATATCGAAAATTTTCCCTAAAAAAGAAAATTTATCGAAAATTTTCTCTAAAAAAGAAAATTTATCGAAAATTTTCTATAAAAAAGAAAATATATGGAAAATTTTCTATAAAAAAGAAAATATATCGAAAATTTTCTATAAAAAAGAAAATATATCGAAAATTTTCTCTAAAAAAGAAAATTTATCGAAAATTTTCTATAAAAAAGAAAATGTATCGAAAATTTTCTATAAAAAAGAAAATATATAGAAAATTTTCTATAAAAAAGAAAATGTATCGAAAATTTTCTCTAAAAAGGAAAATTTATCGAAAATTTTCTGTAAAAAAGAAAATATATCGTAAATTTTCTGTAAAAAAGAAAATATATCGAAAATTTTCTCTAAAAAAGAAAATTTATCGAAAATTTTCTATAAAAAAGAAAATATATCAAAAATTTTCTCTAAAAAAGAAAATATATCGAAAATTTTCTCTAAAAAAGAAACTTTATCGAAAATTTTCTCTAAAAAGGAAAATTTATCGAAAATTTTCTATATAGAAAGAGAAAATTTATCGAACATTTTCTCCAAAAAAGAAAATTTATCTAAAATTTTCTATAAAAGAGAAAATTTATCGAAAATTTTCTATAAATATGTAAAAAAGAAAATTTATCAAAAGTTTTCTATAAAACAGAAAATTTATGAACAATTTTCTATAAAACAGAAAATTTATCGAAAATTTTCTATAAAAACAAAATTTATCGAAAATTTTCTATAAAAAATATTGCCTTTTTGTTTAATCATAAAAATAGCTTAAGTACAAAAATTTAACTAATTCATATAAAAAAACTCAACCACCTCACGTATGAGTAATAAATTATAACTTTAAACCAGCACAGCGTATGAGCAATAACAATAAATATATCGTATGTCATACGTTTAATGTACTAACATTCTAAACATATAAAAACAAACTATTAATAGCTTTTCTTTAACAAGTTTTCTTAATGTTTCTTCTCTTCTTTTATTGTAGTCGCGTCGACAATCAGTCAGCTTTACCGCCATGCCACCCGGTGTTTTAGCCAATGACAGTCGTAACAATTCCACCGATGACATACAAATCGCTTTAGCACCACACATACAAACCTATTTAAGTCAAACGGGACGTCGTCATTCCTGCTGCAGCGTCATGTTACCCGTAGCCTTTGAACGTGCTGCTTCTAATTCCTGGCTAGATCCTAAATTCGATTCAGCCGTATTGGAGGGCCAATATCAAACAAGTGTATTTTCGCATGTACGAATGAGATACAGGTAAGTTAACGAGTTTATTAGAGATGAAAGTTTTTTTGGTTTAACAACAACCACAATGTGTAGCAAGTTATAAGGGAACATAGTTTATTATAGTGTTATGGTTAACAACGAAAAAAAAAGTAATTTTAATGCCACTAACGTGGTTTTATTGTACACAAAATGAAAAGGAAAAAAAATACCATCAAAAAAGTTGTTGCATGCTTTAATGACTTTTCAACTGTAGGCCAAAATGAAAATAAGGAAACGCAACAAACAATAATGAAACTACAAGACAAACGCACTGTAACTAGGGGGATGTAAATAAGAGGTCAGACTGAAAAGTTGTTTTTTTTTTAATCATATAGGAAAAGATTTTAGTATTATTTCGAACTTTAAAAATTATTCCAAAGTTTTTTTTCTTATTTTTACTGCTTGTGTTTAAATCAAAGATTTTAATATTAGAAGGAAAATGTTCAGACTACTCTCTCTATCTCTTAACAATATGTGTGTTATTATTAGCACATGTTTTCCTAGAATATTGGCTTTACAATATTTTATGTTGCACCTAAGTTTGTTAGTGCTATGGCAAAGTTTGTTGTCCATGTTAAAGGATATTTTTTACAATTGTTATGACTGCAGTATGTAAACCAATAACCACCACCGAAAGCATTTATTAAACACATACAATCTACTCGTACATTTCCATCTATAAGAACAAGTTGTTTTTCCTATAGTTGTAGTTTATGGTTGTTTTCCTTTTTTTCTCCATACTAGTTTAACATTGTTGTTTTCCACTTATATTGTTTTTGTTACGCGATACTCAGTACTGCACTACTCTGCGTGTTTGCAATTTTTACAAAACATCAGGAGGTCGTTGGCATTTGTTTAGTTTCGTTATTTTGTTAGAAAAACTAATAAAAAAATGGAACAGAACACCAGAGATTAGAATTATTAGTGCATGTGTGGCATAGTTATAAACATGTGTGTGTGTATGTGTATGTGTGTGTGTGTGTGTGTGCAACAAAACTTAAGCACTGTGTGCATATACAAGCAATAACAACAACTTTAACAACATGCATTGAAAGTTAAGTTATAAAGTTAACATTAATGCTGAAAAATGGCTTGTTGCAAACAATATATACGATTTTCTTTTATACCCATATATATATGTAAGCTGTTGCACAAAGTATGAAATCTTTTTGAAAAAAAGGAAGAATATAAATTCGAATTTACGAAAAATGTTTCAGTAAGAGAAAAATTTATCAAAAATTTTGTAAAAAAAAAATTGCTAAATTTATAAACTTATCGAAAATTTTCTGTAAAAAGAAAATCCATAGAAAAGTTTTAATAATAAGAAAATTCATCGAAAATTTTTTACAAAAATTAAAATTCAGCGAAAATTTTCTAAAAAAAAATTTATCAATAATTTTCTATAAAAAAACAATTTATATAAAAAGAAAAAATTATCGAAAATTTTTTATAAAAAGAAAAATTTATCGGAAATTTTGTATAAAAAAGAAAATTTATCTAAAATTTTCTATAAAAAAAGAAAATTTTCCATAAAAAAGAAAATTTATCGAAAATTGTCGATAAAAAAGAAAAATTTATTGAAAATTTTCTATAAAAAAGAAAATTTATCAAAAATTTTCTATAAAAAAGAAAATTTATGGAAAATATTCTATAGAAAGACAATTTATCGAAAATTTTCTATAAAAAAAAATTTCTGAAAATTTTCTTTAAAAAGAAATTTAATTGAAAATGTTCTATAAAATGAAAATTAATCGAAAAATTTCTATGAAAAGGAAAATTTATCGAAAATTTTCTATGAAAAAGAAAATTTATCGAAAACTTTCTATAAAAAGGAAAATATATCGATAAATTTTCCTTTTTATATAAATTTTTCGAAAAAATTTCTTTTTTATATAAATTTTGCGAAAATTTTTCTTTTTTATATAAATTTTTCGAAAATTTTCCCTTTTTATAGAAAGTTTCCTTTTTATAGAAAATTAATCGAAAATTTTCTATAAAAAAAAAAATTAATCGAAAATTTTCTATAAAAAGAAAATTAATCAAAAATTTTCTATAAAAAGAAAATTAATCAAAAATTTTCTATAAAAAGAAAATTAATCGAAAATTTTCTATAAAAAGAAAATTAATCGAAAATTTTTTATAAAAAGAAAATGAATCGAAAATTTTCTATAAAAAGAAAATTAATCGAAAATTTTCTATAAAAGGAAAATTAATCGAAAATTTTCTATAAAAAGAAAATTAATCGAAAATTTTCTATAAAAATAAAATGAATCGAAAATTTTATATAAAAAGAAAATTAATCGAAAATCTTCTATAAAAAGAAAATTTATCGAAAATTTTCTTTAAAAAAGAAAATTTATTTCTATAAAAAGAAACTTTTCAAAGATGAGCTATAAACAGAAAATGTATCGAAAATGTTTAATAAAAAGGAAAAGTAATAAAAAGAAAATTAAAAAAAAAAATTATTTTAAAAAAGAATGTATGAAAAATTTTTTATAAAATAGAAATTTATCGAAAATTTTCTATCAGAAAAAACTTATCAAAAAATTTCTTTAAAAAGAAATTTTATCAAAGACGTTCTATTAGAACGAATTTGAAACAAAAACCTTCTATAAAAAGAAATGTTAACAAAAATTATCTATAAAAAGAAACTTGATCGGAAATCTTCTGTTAAAACAAAATGTATCGAATATTTCCTATAAAAAGGGAAAATTTTCGAAAAATTTATATAAAAAAAAAATTTTCGAAAAATTTATATAAAAAAGAAATTTTTTCGAAAAATTTATATAAAAAGGAAAATTTATCGAAAATTTTCTATAAAAAAGAAAATTTATCGAAAATTTTCTATAAAAAACAAAATTTATCGAAAATTTTCTATTAAAAACAAAATTTATAGAAAATTTTCTATAAAAAACTAAATTTATCGAAATAAAAAGAAAATTAATCGAAAATTTTCTATAAAAAGAAAATTAATCGAAAATTTTCTATAAAAAGAAAATTAATCGAAAATTTTCTATAAAAAGAAAATTAATCGAAAATTTTCTATAAAAAGAAAATGAATCGAAAATTTTTTATAAAAAGAAAATGAATCGAAAATTTTCTATAAAAAGAAAATTAATCTAAAATTTTCTATAAAAGGAAAATTAATCGAAAATTTTCTATAAAAAGAAAATTAATCGAAAATTTTCTATAAAAATAAAATGAATCGAAAATTTTATATAAAAAGAAAATTAATCGAAAATCTTCTATAAAAAGAAAATTTATCGAAAATTTTCTTTAAAAAAGAAAATTTATTTCTATAAAAAGAAACTTTTCAAAGATGAGCTTTAAACAGAAAATGTATCGAAAATGTTTAATAAAAAGGAAAAGTAATAAAAAGAAAATTAAAAAAAAAATTATTTTAAAAAAGAATGTATGAAAAATTTTTTATAAAATAGAAATTTATCGAAAATTTTCTATCAGAAAAAACTTATCAAAAAATTTCTTTAAAAAGAAAATTTATCAAAGACGTTCTGTTAGAACGAATTTGAAACAAAAACCTTCTATAAAAAGAAATGTTAACAAAAATTATCTATAAAAAGAAACTTGATCGGAAATCTTCTGTTAAAACAAAATGTATCGAATATTTCCCATAAAATGCTAATTTATCGAAAATTGTTTTTAGTTTACATTCCTTTAAAGTTCTCATATAACTAAGATACACAAATATTCTCACTTTTAAACTAATGTTGTTTTATGTGCAATAAACATTAAAACTTAAATCGATATTTAGTAAATTTTCTAAAAAGTTGAAACATTAAGCTGCAAACGACAATATTTAGTCGGTTGGGGTAGGTTTCCTGTGGTATACATATTAAACATTCAAATTCCTAACATCTTCATAAGAATAGAATGAAAGTTTTCTCAAGAAATTATAACAAACAAATGATAAATTTTGAAATCTTTTGTGGCATTACAAACTTTATTTAGTTTCTCTACAATTTCTTTCTCTTTTCATTTCAAATTACAATCAACTTCAAAAATTCAAGGTCTAGTAAACTTTTCTTATACTTTTCTTTTTCCATTCAATGTCTCGGTTCATTAGTGGCCATATGATGATGTTTATTTAGGTTAAGATTTCTTACAAATAATTTTTCAGGGCCATATTTTCGAATAATTTTTTTTTGTTTTGTTTATATTTACCAAAGGAAGTAAACAAAGCCGTCAATATATATAAATAATCTAGTTAATGGTTTTCTTATTTATTAACAAAAATAATCATCAATTAAATTATTGTCGAAAAAAATTATTGCTTTATTAGCAAATATTGTTTATGTCATAATTTTTTTATTTGCAAAAAAAAAAATTCGCTATGTTTATTAAACAAAATTTTAAGAAAATAAAATTGTGAGATATTTATATGGATTTTTTTCAAATGTGTATCCTGTTAATGGCGTATTTTGTGCCGTCATGAGAGAAAATACTATTAATGAGTGTGATAATATTTTTATTTAAAAAATATGGAAAAAGATAAGAATAGAAATTTATAAACATTCAAAATATTCTTTTTAGTAATTTTTTAATTCGATAAAATTTTCTTCTTTATGGAAATTTTCGATAAATTTTCTTTTTTGTAGAAAATTTTCCATAAATTTTCTTTTTTATAGAAAATTTTCCATACATTTTTGTTTCTATAGAAAATTTTCGATAAATTTTATTTTTTATAGAAAATTTTCGATTTGACCGATAAGAACGGATAATCGATAGTATGGTTAAAAGCAGTATACCAGATAGAAATCAAATATAAGCAACATGCTTATGTAAAGGGACGATCAGTAGAAACGGTGTTTAATGAAGTTGTCCACTATATAGGTGAATCCTTCGATAGTAAACTCTATACACGCGCCTTCAACAATACACTGATACTCCTTTCGAATCCTTAGACCAGTTTTATGTTGATCCAGTTACGCAGCAACCGGTGCTAAGGAACAGTTGGATAAGCTGAAAGATGT